GTACAAATGTGGTTGACACGATGGATGGATGGATTGTGATAAGAGTTGTACAGCCCCCAATAAAAGGATTTTTAAAAAAGAAGAAGAAACCCCTTCCGCTCTTGATTCTTCAGTTTAACCTGCTTGGATCCGGCCGATCCCCACTGGTACTCAAGCATGTCTTTAACATCTTCTCCATAAAACAAAGAAGAAAGTCACTTGCTTTCACAGCTGCCTCCAGATCGTGCCTTGTACCTCGTGCTGTCCTTCCCAGCAAGTTACTGAAACAAACGTCTGTCTTTGAAATGACAACTCTCTCCCCAGATTTTCAGTCCAGCTCACCCCCAAAGCAACAAGAATCAAGGTCACCCACACTCTCACCAAGACAAACCCACTGTCTTCTCCTTCTCCACAGCTCAGGAACTTGTGACACACCTGGCCCGGGGCTCCAACATGTTCCCACGTGGTCTCCATGACAACACAATGTCTGGGTGTCCTTTACGACTGGCTATGCCTAACTCCCACCCGCCACCTCTTCCCGAGCTCCCAGTGTTGGAAGGACTTTGGGGCTGGCCCGCAGGCTTCTTCTCTTTGGGAACTACAGCATTTCATCCATCCCAGCTCTATGGAAACCAAACCAACTCACTGCCATCCAACCAATTCCAGTATGTCACGTGACAACTTAACAGGACAAAGGACCGGGAAGGACCACCCTTTGGGTTTCCAAGACTTGTAATTTTTGCAGGAGTAGGCAGCCTTGGAGCTCTTTCTGCCATGGAGCAGATTGTGGGTTTGAACCAGTGACCTTGTGGTTAGCAGAGCAGTGTGTAGCCCACTACACCACCAGGCCTTCTTCAGCTTTACTACAACACTAAATTGGTATGTCCAGCCTGAGTTCCTACCCTGACATCTCCCACCATTTGCATGATTTATTGTTATGTTTGACCAAATTTACACAAGGTCTAAATAACCTCAAGCCTCTACTTCCTGCCCATCTCTGTAATATCACCTCCATTCTCTCAAATGTATCTCTGTGGAACAAAAACACTGGGGCTCCTCTTTACTTCTTCATCTGGCCTCATGCTGAGTCACCTCTCTGTGACTGATACATATTCTCTAAGTCTCCACTTCTCCCCATCTTGCTGTGGCCCAAGCTGTCAACTTCCCTCACTTTCCCATCGGCCTCCACTGCTGTCTCCTCTCCTCCGGTGGCTTCCCATTACCCTGACAGAAGCATCTACATTCCTGCCCAGCACCTGCCAGGCCCTGTGTGATCTGGCCCCTCTCTCCCCAACCTCGCCACACTCAGCCACCTTGTTCTGACTAACTCCACCAACCTTCTTCCTTTTCCTCAACTACAAATATTCCACAAATATTCCTTCCTTCACATAGTCCTTACAATCAGTGCCCCCTTTAGCTGGGAAATTATTTTTCCAGACATTCACAAGGGTGGGACCACCTAATCACTCAAGTCTCTGATCAAATAGCACATCTGAGGAGCCTTGGTTGACCCTCTGGGGTCCCTTCTCCATCCCACTGCCCTGCCTTATGCCCTTTGTCACCATTTGGAAAGAATCCTTCATTGGTCTGTTTGTTTTTTTACGTATACCTCCTCCATCCTTTCCACTACAAAGTAAGATTCCAGAGAGCAGGATTGGTCAGTTTTGCTTCCTGCTGTCTCCCTAGCCCGTGCATCCTGCATCGTTGGGGGTCCCTACATTATTGAATAAACAAGCAAGGCACAACTTTATTTAGAGAGGTCTGAGAAACGCATTGCTGTTCTCAGTGTTTCACTTTAAAAAAGGACAAAATAGCGGGAGTGGGGTGGGGTGGGGAGTCCTTTGAAACAGCGCTCAATACTCACCAAGGTGAGAATCCTCAAGGTGACGGCGCTGAATATGACTCTGTAGAAAAGCTTGGTTCATAAAAGCCTTGTCGCAAAAATGGCACTGAAAAGGAGAAAGCAACAGAACCAAGTGTCTGTGTGAAGTGTCCCCCAGCTCCTGTCACCCAACATTCGGTGGAAGACACTGGAAAAAGTGCAAGGGTTAAAGCAACAGACATGAGATACTGTCAGATGTGCAAGCCTCCAATTTCACAATTTACATGTGGGTTCATGGATAGTCCGATGGGTATGGGAGAGTGGGATTGTATACATCCATAAACAAACATATATGTCTGAGAGAGCTATTACTAAAGAGAGAGAGAAAAATTCAAGTATTGAGTCATCATTTCTGGGGCTTCCCTGTCCAAAAATACCATACTAACAACTACCGTACCATGCTGAAAGCCTGACTAAAACAGGCCGATATAAAACCAGGCCATTCTTACTAAAGTAACGAAAACTCTCTTTTGCCAGCAGTGCGCCACTGTGCTTTCCAGAAACCCTGCTGTTGCTACCCTTAGCCTGCAAGGTCTTTCCCTATGACCACCAAGCAAACAGAGCTTTTACCACTGAATCTGCAACACTCCAAGCACACTGCACCTTCTGACTGCCCCTCCACATTCCTAGCGCCGTCCTGCCACAGGGCATTACCTTTAGTTGTTCTCCTACCTCAGTCTGCCTTGGTCTTCACATGACTGGTTCCTTCTTGATATTTGAGATGTCCCCTTCTACTCAACAGTATAAACAGTCAAGCGCCTTTCACACCAAAGATGAATGGCAAGGCCCCCCACCACTTACTGCCGTATGACATCCTTCTATTGCCAGCTTTCTACCACACCCAGTGCCTACAAGTCCGTTCTGACTCTGACACCCTATACAGGGTTCCCCAGGCTGCAAATCTTTAAGGAAACGGTCAACTTCATCTTCTCCTGTGGAGTGATGGGTGGGTTTGAACTGCTGACCTTCTGGTTCGTAGCCCATATAGTCATATTTGTGTACTGTCTCCTCTGTCGATCTCTCTAAGTTCTCAAATGTAAGCTTGCTGGGACAGAGATTCTGTCTACCTTATTCACGATTGTGTCCCCAGATACTAGCATTAATAAATGATTGAACATGTCTGGGGTCCTAGTGGTTAAGATCAGCTGTCCAAACCAACCCGGGGGACTCTGTGTAGAAGAAAGGACCTGGAAATGTGTCCCTGTAACGCTGACAGCCGAAGAAACTGTCTAGGGCAGTTCTGTTCTGAAACATGGGGTCAGTATCAGAATTAATTCAATGGCACACAACAAAAATAATTTACTGAGTAAAGAATTAATCAATTCCACCAATGTGTTTATTTTTCCATTCATTCAAATTTTAAACAAAATTCAACTTAATTTATCTAGATCCTGCCCTCTGAATCACTCTGAAGTAAACCCTAGTTAGTCCATTTTTCATCTATAAATAGTTAAGGATAGATCTCTAAAAGATATGCGCTTTCGTTGGACACAAACATAGTAGCATTATTCCACCTTTTAAAATGTGAAATTTAAATTTGTAATCTCAACAAATGGTCCCTCCACACCCCATCCCCAATATTTCCAACATTGCTTTAGCAAATATGATTGAATCATGATCCAAGGGGTTCATATCCGTGATGTCTTAGGTTTTATATCAACCTAATGGAAGCCCTGGTGGAGTAGTGGGGATGCATTAGGGTACTAACCGCAAGGTTAGAAGTTCCAAACCATTAAAAGCTCCAACAAAGAAAAAGGAGGCTTTCTTCTCCCATCATGTATTACAATCGCGGAAACTCACAGGGGCAATTCTCTTCTGTCCGACAGTGTCACTACGATTTTGAGTCGGAATCAACTCAAAGGCAGAGTTTGAGGATACCTGTGTGAAGGTAGGGGTTTAATCCAATCCAATCTTTCAGGTCCAACTTGATGATGCCTCCCCTGAGGTATGGCCATTTTGTATAAGAGAAACTGGGAACGTCTCTTGAGTTAATTAAAGTTTATTGCGCTGCGTGGAGACCCCTGCCAGCACTGAGATGCTTACACGTTCACTGACTCGGCTTTCCTCCTGCAGTCAGGGTCATAGCGTGTGTTTTGTGGGATGGAGGAGGACTTTGTGGATTGGTGTAGGACATGTGGGTTAATGTTGGACTTATGGGCTTAGACAGCACTGGGGTGGGATGTTTTCTTGATGTGTACTTAGCCTTTACATAAAATTCTCTTATACATGAGTTTCTGTGGATTTGTTTCTCTGAAGTACCCAGACTCACACAGTCTTTCTTGCTCCTTTTTCACTTCTTCCTTGACTGGTTGCTTCTTTGACTCTTAGGGGTTAGCAGCTGATAGGCCTGCCAACCTGGGGAGCTGTGGCACCCTGCCATGTTCCTATAAACTTTACATCCACTTGACTCTGCACCCACTGACCTGTGGTCTCCCAGATTCCCATTTCACCTTCTTGCTTCAAACACTGGCAACTATGGGAATCTGAGGGAGCTCTGACTAGCATCAACCACATGGACTTGAATTGGCCTGGCTTGAGTGGCTTTTTTGATATAACATTCTTCCTTGAAATCGAGGAAAGAACTAGGAGGCAAAGGGCATTTATAGAGGTCTAAATAAAGGCATGTACATATGTAAATTTATTTGTATATGAGGATGGGGAAATAGATCTATGTGCATATATTTATAGGTTTAGTATTAAAGT